GTGTGGTAATTGACCCTTGTGTTGCAGTTGGCATATCTTTTTGCACTGTGGTGGATTATTCCTGTCTCCCTGGGCTTGTTAGTGGTTTGTTTCACATCGGTTCCATGTCACACTGAAAGCACACAAAGCCCCGTGTGGATAAGAGCGCGATAGTGTGTCTGCTCTGGGTTCCAGCGACACAAAAAAAAGAAGTTAAGAAAAAAAAGAAAAAGCCATAGCTAATTGACATTAAAACGGCATCATTTCAGCCTCATTTGTTCCTGAAAAACCTCAAGGCAATTTGTCTCCAGCAAAAAAAGTTAAGTTAATTGCTGCTTCTTTTATGCTTTTTGTGTGCATAGCTAAAGGCTTTGTTATCCCTCAACGATGCAACTTGTGGCTGACTTAAAAATGAAACATTTTACAAAACAAGAAAAAGCTAGTGTGCCTCCATTTTCCTACTGCAGTGTCTGCTTTAAACTGCGCAGCCATTACTATTAAAATGTTGCCTTGAATCACGGTCCTCTGTGATGGTACAGCACAGAAAAGAACGATGGAAGAATCCCCTCATGAAAACAACATTTGATTTTGACAACTTTACATTCCCCACTAATATACAATGACAAATGTGTACTCACCAGCCACTTTATTAGGTATGCTGTTCAGTGGCTCGTTAATGCAAATATCTAATCAGCCAAGTAGACATGGCTAACAAGACCAGCTGAAGTTCAACTGAGCTTCAGAATGCCGCTTTCAGAGTCACTTACTTTGGAAGAAAATGGAGAAGGCATGGGTTTTGGTGCCTGATGGGCTTGTAAGAGTATTTTAGAAACTGCTGATCTAATAGGATTTTCCCACACAACCAGAGAATTACAGCGATTTGGCCAAGTGGGTGAAAACACCTTGTTGAGGCCAGAGATGAGAGGAGAATGGACAGTCTGCTTCGAGCTAATAGGAAAACAGTAGTAACTCAAATAAACACGTCTTACAACGAAAGAATAAGAAAGCATTTCTGACCTTGAAGTAAATGCACTATGGCAGCAGAAGACCACACCTAGTGCCACTTCTGCTAGCTAAGAACAGCAAACTGAGGTTACAATTCGCAAACACTCGCCAGAAGTGGTCAGCATATTTCTCGCGCCTTGTTGAATCTATGCCACTGAGAATCAAGGCAGTTCTAAAGGTAAAAGAGGGTCCAGCCCACTGCTAGCAAAATGTAGTTAGCAAAGTTTCCAGTGAGTGTACATTAGAGAGATAGAAACAAATGAACACACTGTTTCATACCACTCTCCACTTTTATTTGAAATCTTAATTTACCAACGCAGCAGAGAAAAAGGAAATATTGCCCTTGTGAAGCAGGTGGCATTTAAGGAGTCCCCTACATAGTTATCATCTGGAAAAAACAACAGCTCTATAGTCTTTTCTAAACTTCAATCACATTTGATTGAGTGAATGGTTTATAAGGATTAGGAGGTGGGCTGAATATTGGAATAAATAAGGATCCATAATGGGTCCAGAGGGAAAGTGTCTCAGTGAGCTTCAGCCACACCGTCCCTCTGTGCTAGCTGAAAGAGAAGGAGGAACAGTGTTTAGAGGGAGGGCTTTGAGAATTACCAAGCAGGTAAGTGAAGGAGAATTAATATGACATGTGGTGTTGTTCCAAAATTTAAGTTGTAATAACCTGATTTAATACTTTCTATATCTGTAACACGTTTGGCTGTCAGATTAATAAAAATCTCTAGCATGATGTATTTTGTCTTCTTAGCCAATCAGCTTGTGAAACCAATAAAAAAATAGAAAGAAACCTTATTACTAGCATAGAGTGGGCTTGAAAAGAGAAGACTTGCTGGCTAATTCTCAACTTTGGAGTTGGAATCCCCTAAAGGAAAACAGGAGGTGACAGGAGGTGAACTTAGATTTGTGATTGCTGTTGTTAAGTTGCGCAGAGCAAATGCAAGTGCAGCACAGATACCCAATAAATGTTGAAGAAGTCCAAATCATTTAAAATTGCACCTGGATTCTTGTCCTCTAATATTAAAGCTGATTCACCAAATTGAGTGATTTGTTTTTATCTTATGGGATTACACACTACACTAAATGTCTTTTGCAAACATTCTTCAGACATAGTGAAACAAGCAAACTGGATATTTTTGGGGCTTTAGGAAACTGTGACATGTTTTTTTTCTAATAATATATGATTTAAGGAAAATGTGTTTTTTTTTTTAAAGGAATTAATTTAAATAATTCCTAGTTGAAGAGGCACATCACATGTAAAGTCAAATTTGGACTCTAGTGTGAATGCAGCTTTTTTCTAAACTTGTAAAATTGTCTATATAAGGGGCTGTTGGCTTCACGTGGCCTCAGACTAATGGAATAAGCCATTATGCAAATCAAGCAGTGTATCTGATATGTAGGAAGCGAGAGTCAGTCCTTATGGTTCTTGATGGATGATGAAGAGAAGGAAGTGGAGGAGGGGGGGATGGAGATGGCAAACAGCAGGAAGAGTGACTGTATTGGGATTTGTGGGGGTGGGCAGTGAGATAGGGGGGATTGTGGGGGAAGGAAACACTAGTCAGCCAAGTCCTTGCATTTCATTTATTATAATACCTCTATACTGTGAGCCAGCCTTTGAGTAAGCTTCATTTTTTTGCTGTCTGTGCATTGGCACTGACTGGGATGTTGCATGAGAGCGTTGTCTCTGCTCAGCTCTCAGTGCCATGAGCTGAAACAGGGGACTCCATTCATGCGCTCTGATTTTGTCTCATTAGCCTGTGGTTACCATAGTGGCTCCATAGTGTAGTAGCTTACAACGAGTGAAAGAGTCTCAGTTTGGATCTAGGAGGAGACATAAATCCCTTTGAGTTGCATCATCTCGCAAATCTGGCAAATCCAACATGCAGAGTTACCCACTGTGGCGGCCCCTTGTGAACACAGGTGGAACCTAAAGTATCTTAGACTGTGGGTGCCATATGTGCTGAGCTGCCTTTATGCATTTGTATGTTGTTTCTATAGATTAAGAGAATTTACATTGCTGGAAGTGTTTTCCAATTTATCATATTTGTAAACTGGACATTTGTCAGCAACCATTATTTTTTAAGATGGCAGACAGATGATAGCAACGAATCAGGGAAGGCGGGAGGGGCTGGTGTACTCGTTTTAATTTCTGTCAAGATTTTGCCGCCCTCTGGTCAAGAGTTTTGAAATTGACCCTTGTGTTCCCCTTGTCCAAAAAGCCTACTTTAGCTCTTGATCCGGAAGAGTGGTTTTTGTTTTTCCTTTCACACTGATGTCAAATTACAAGCAGCAGAGAGGGAACAAGTGTGTTTGAAACACACCATCAGAGCTCTCCTCTGGTTCATCTCCATCACCATTCTGCTCTTTGTTCCTATCAGTCTTTCAGACAGCAGAATGGCCCCTACAGTATAGACCGAGGCTGAAAGCTGCAGCTGCTGCACACACTGAGCAGAGGCGAGGGACAGCACTCCCCCAGTTACTACACACACACACACACACACACACGGATGGAGGAGAGAGCTGCTCCTCCCTGTTTGTCTGATGTTTTGCTTTGCTTTAATAGCAAGACTGATGCCATTTAAAACTTTCGCTTCATTTCACTCAATGCAAATCCAGCTGCATTAGTGGGTTGCCAGAGTCCTTCACTGACATGGGACAGTACATGCAGTGGCTCTACACAGCCAGCTCAACCTAATTAGTCCTAATGTTAGTTTAAAAAAAAGTACAGCTATGCAGAGACTTTTTTTTGCATATGACTAAAATCTATATTTAAAAATACCTTTCTTGCCCCCAGAATTATATTACATAATTTTAAATACATCACATCTACCACGTCCTGAATAAAGAATCATTAGTGTGTGAAATTAGCAGGTTTTTTTTTTCTTGCTGTTTGTTTTTCAACCAGACAAACAAAACTGAACATAAAAAACAAACAAAAAAACGCTGTCTTCTAAGACCTTTTCCCCTATGTGCACATTTTGACAGTTGTTCAAGGTGACAAGTAATATTTATAATAGTTACTTTTAATAGAAATGATATCAACACTTAAATAAAAAAGAAAAAAACACCGACACTTAAAATGTTTGAGCAACTTTGCTGATTTTGTTAAAAGTTTAAAATGTTCTTATCATTGTCACACAACTTTGGATTTGAGGACCCAAATACAGACTACAGGGGGGGAAAGCCCCAAAAGTCAAAGTCTAAACATGAGGAGCCAAGGAAGAAATGGAATACAAACTTGGGCCCAGCTCCAGAAGACAGGTTCAACAAAGCCTGAGTCTAATCCTTGGTGGAAAACTCTTAGTTTTCAGTTGCAGAAAAGCTGGAAAAATGAAGCCATCATCACTGGATTTCTGATAGCATTCACCATGACAATGAGTAAATGAAGAACAGCGGCTTCAGTTTTTATGAAGCTATGTGAAGGATGACATTCATCATAAACACGAGGGGAGAAAAATGGAATTGTCATCTATGCAGTCGTCCAAATTTACCTTTACAGGTAAAGGTGAAACCCGACCAAATTTTACTTTTGATCTTTAAGTTAAAACTATCCAGCTTCACCCTGACAAGGACAAAATGCAGGTCCTAAAGGACAAATATGAAATAATGAGATAAAAAAATTGATTACTTTGACATGCGATATTATTTAGATTCATTAAAATTCATTTAGTTTATTTTCAATAAAAACAATGGTTCAGACTTTGCACAACATAATTTGATGACTATATTTGAATATATGAAAATATTTCAGCATAAAATCCAGTGACACAGACTGCCTGTATTCAAAAACCTCACTTTGAACTACATTTAGTCTCACATTACAACTTTCAACTAAAATATTCACAAAATCTCCAACTGATAAACAATGACAGGTATTTATTCACCATTGTGACTGAAACTTCTTCTTCTTCTTCTTCTTCTTCTTCTTCTTCTTCTTCTTCTTCTTATTATTATTATTATTATTATTATTATTATTATTATTATTATTATTATTATTATTATTATTATTATTATTAAAACGCTGATGAATACACTAATCCATGCTAAATGTTTTAACGTAGAGAAACTAGCAGACAACCTGACAACTGCCTTACTGACCATGTAAGGAAGTCATGGAGATACAGACTTCATATTTTATTTTGCTATATTTTATTCAGCAATCATCATTTGTGCCCTTGCATAGATGACCAATTATTTTAAAAAAAATGCTAATTATTAAACACAACCAATATCTAACCAGGGTTTCAGTGCTTGGACATCAGTTACACAAATGAAAAAGCAGGAGTGAAGGAGTCAAAGAGAAACTTTGTTGACCCTGGCACCTGACACAGTTTAAGTTTAAAGTCTCTTTCTAGAACAAAAAAGCCAGAAATTCCTCTCATGTGTCAACAAACTCAGAGCTTTCACTAAACTTGCTTTCTGGAACAAAGCCTTGGGAAACACACTGAGACAAAAAGTTGGACTGGACTATATATACAGAGATCACCGATTAGGGATTAGACAAAGGAGGGGAATGAGATGCAGAGGAATGCAAATAACAACAGTTAATCAGAAAACAAAATAATCAGAGAATCAAGGCAGGCTGTCACAAAGCATCTTTAACTCAGGACATAGAAGAAAATGAACCTTCAAGCATTTAAAATCTGGAGAAAAAAACCCGGACAAAACAAAAGAGAGTACCATAGACTTGAATATTAACACTTAATAAGGGAACACAAAGGGACGAACACAGGAACAAAAAGAAAGGAAGGCAGACAGAAACAGAAACACTCGGGCAACTGCTGCTACTGACAGTAACAGACATGAACCAAAACACAAGATAACACAAAAATGAAGAAACAAAGCTCAAGAAAGGGATAAGATATAAGGCAAGTTTAACATAGACAAATTTCTTAGTTTCTTAGTTGTCTTCACTAAACATAAAACCTCAGAGATAATGAACATTTCCACACGGGTAATCGGTTTTCTTTGTTTTCACTAGCCCAGCCTTTCTTCTTCAGGCTCTGCTTGCGATCACATAGAAGGGACGTTTGATGTATTATTTGACTCTTCTTCTGCACAATGTTGACCAGTTGAATCCCCTCCCCCCAACTCCAAGGCAGATGCATTATTGGAGGAATGTGTGACAGAGCTCTCTAAAAGAAAAGAAAAATATAGCAGTAAAAAGGAAGATTGCCATTGCAGATAGGACAAGAGAGTAATGCTGCAGATCAAAAGAAGCATGCAGAGCAGTTAGAAAAAATGTATATGTTAACTCAAGATAATATGCAATATTTATTTTATTGTGTGTGTGTTCTTACTTAATTCTGACATGACAGCAGTACATGAATTCTCACTGTGTCATATACTAATAAACAGGAGGTTGAAATCACTTACGTTTGTTGTCAGATTCTTCTCAAATTAATCTTACTGATTGGTGATAAGCAGTCTACATGTTATGTGTTCAGCATGTGTTACCATGGTAACACCGTGAAAAGACAGCCATATTTGTTGTTCTGGCTGTTAGCTTCATAGTATGCCTCTCCAGGCCCGGTAATACAGAGCAACTCCAACACACCCAGGATATCTTTCCACCGTCTGGTTTCACTTACCCTGACAGCAGCAGTTGGGTTCAGGATCATAAGCAGGTTATTATCACCTTGATAAATCTATCATGGGACTCCAAATCTAGCAATCAGTACACTTAGGGGCGATCGTGGCTCAAGAGTTGGGAGTTCGCCTTGTAATCGGAAGGTTGCCGGTTCGAGCCCCGGCTTGGACAGTCTCGGTCGTTGTGTCCTTGGGCAAGACACTTCACCCGTTGCCTACTGGTGGTGGTCAGAGGGCCTGGTGGCGCCAGTGTTCGGCAGCCTCGCCTCTGTCAGTGCGCCCCAGGGTGGCTGTGGCTACAATGTAGCTTGCCATCACCAGTGTGTGAATGTGTGTGTGAATGGGTGGATGACTGGATATGTAAAGTGCTTTGGGGTCCTTAGGGACTAGTAAAGCGCTATATAAATACAGGCCATTTACTTAAAAAAGTGGTGCTGACTTTACAAAGAAACTATAGTACTGTGGAAAAGTCTTGATCCACCCTTCACTTCTTTACATTTTGTTTAAAAAATGAGATTCTAACATTTCTAACAAAGTCAGCATTTGGTATGACCACTTTTATTCTTCAGCTCAGCCTGAATTCTCTTAGTAAGTCATTCTTGTCATTTCGTTAAGTAGTCCTCAGGAACAGTTCTCAAGGCTTCTTGAATGACATTCGAAGCTCTTCTTTGTTGGGTGTCTTTTTTTCCATTCTCTGTTAAGACGATCCCACACTACTTCCATATTGTTGAGGTCTGGGTCTGTCCAGGTGTGCTTTTACCACACTGGCAGTATGTTTGGGATAACTGTCACTTTGAAAAAATAAGCCGTTTCCAATCAACTGATTTCTGGATCTGGCATCATGAATCAAAAGCTGATGGTACGTTGGAACATTTTTGTATTCATAATATCATTAATTTTGACAGGATTCCCAACACCACTGGCAGCAAACCATTCCAGAGCCATTGTGTTTTACAGGTAGACACTCACTGTTATACCTTTTCTCCTGACCTCTGTAGATATTGATGATGGTTTAAACCAGATATTTGAAATTTGGATTCATCACTCCGTAATTCCTCTTGGCACTGATTTCCAGTCAACATCAGCCTTTTCTCCCTGTTTCCCTTCATTAATAATAGCTATTTGACAGCCACTTTCCCACTGAGACCATTTTGGGGGACATTTTTCTCTGTTATTGGGTAGTGCAGCAGTGATAAATAAACAAGAAGGAAGGGGAGACATGCAGTGAAGTGCCACTGGTCAGACTTGAACATTTGCCTTATGGAATATGGTTGCCTGCTCACCCAGTGAGCTAAACTGGCTTTTTTCTTTCTTTCTTTCTTTTTTTTTTTGTCTGGTCATAGCTGAATTTTTTCCTTTCTTAAGGGCATCACTCTCATACATGGTTTTTCGACAGTTTATTTTTTTTAGGCTTGCCACTTCTTCTTTTGTCATCCACTGTACAGTTTCTTCCTATCTTTTAGACCCACACTACATGCCATTCTGTGTATATACTGTATGGGGTAGGTACAAAATTGGCTAGGTACGAGGAGTGGACTGTGAACAAGACATCAATCAGCCAATGTCCAGAAAACAACTTTGAAAGACCTTCAGAAAGATTGGAGAACTATTGCTCACACCACTTACAAAAAAAGAAAGTCTGGCTTCTTGGATGCAAAATAAAGATATAATAAGGAAAAGATGGCTGGTTCAAGGCTTTTCTACAGTACTGCATACTACGGGGAAAGTATGAAGAAGTTAAACAGGAATTTTAAGAATTTTCACCAGTGGGCCTGAAAAAGAGGGACCATATTAATAAAGTTTAACTTATTAAAACCGGAAAGGAAAGTCAACAAAAATTCTGCATGGTTATCTTTGAGATTTTGCATATTAGTCTATTTATATTGCCGTAATATATTATGCTTATTATGTGAACACAACTATGTTTAGAACTCCTTGTCAAAGACCAGTTTCCCCATGGGACAAAAAAGTTTATTTTTAGCTTATCTTAAAGTTCCCCCACTGTATCTGTATATTTACTACTAAGATATGTTCCAGGCAGGACCTTTTTCTTTTTTAAAGTAGCCTGTTGGGTAATATATTAAGCAAAAAGCCTGGCATACTTGACTCCAGACAATTCACCAGTCTAATGGGAGCTGAACCATTAAATTGCCTGTTAATTGGAATTTCAGCACTAACAACTAAGTATATATAATGTATTTAATATACCATGGCACAAAGAAAAAAACTGCCCGTGGCTTTCCTCAGTGTATCTGAAGTGTCAGATTGCTGTGTAGGTTCTGGCTTTCAGAAGGCTTTACGGTCACAGTATACCTATATTGCGTATTTAATGCAGAAGTACAAATCTCTTGTTAGCATTTATTAGAGGTAGTCCTACTCCACTTGGAAGCTGTGACTCTTTTGTGTCACATAAAGCCATAAAAATACATGCACACATATTACCATTTGCATTAATGTGCAGCATGTTTTTGCCGTCCCGCTAATTAAATTCCTACTTTGCAGCAATAGTTTGGGAACCAGTGGTGTGGTATTTATAATGCACTTCTATGTTTTATCATATTTAAAGAAATGTTCTCTTCCTTTATCTATCTTCCCTCTGCCCAGCTTTTCAGCTCCTGCGGTATTAAAGATACGCTGCTGTAAAAGAAGTCATCTGTAATCCTACATGTGCTGTATGGCCCCTCTAAAGAAGGCTCATCAAGGTGAAACTCTTGTATGATTTTTTTAGACACTAAAAGCATGATAGCAGGTTTTTTGGAATGAGAGGGAAAAGCACACACTGTGCATCCAGGTGTGTGATATTTAGCAGCAGCAATCGCCTCAGGAGCAGAACCGTCAAACAAGTGAGCGCACTGTAATGAAAGACTAGCCACTTCCCTGGAGAATGTGAATAATGTGAATAGGAATAAATGACATACAGTACTTTGCAGGAAAATACACACACACACACACGCACACACACTTTTTCTGCCCTTAGAACCTGTCACCAGTGGGTAAGGTGCTCCGCATGCGCACACACAGGCAAGCACGCACACTGAATACATCCATGCCTGAAGACACAACAAGAAATAATAATTGTGAGTCAGCCTCACATATGCATACAGACACGCACATACAGTATATACACAGACACCGCCAATAGCCAATCTGCTTTTTCCATAGGAACACATTTTGTTGTTACGGGAGACATTATTTCAGATTAACCACACATTTTATTCTCATTGAGTGGATATTTTACACACCTTTGATTCAATAATACAGACCCACAGATTCTTCCTCAGCTCCATCTGCCCTGCTCCTCTTCCTCAGTCCTTCTCTGACAGGTCTCTATATTTGCAGGTGAGCCTGAGGAGATGATAGCAGTGTGTTTTTGTGTGCGTGGGTGTTTTGGGGACTTGCTCTGCATGATTATGTATGATAACATACGCATGCTGAAGTATCCATTCACCTCAGGTTAACTCGTCTCCTCAACACTAATTACAGATGTTAATCTAATCTGCGGCCGATGAGTTAAATGAGGCTTTTTATGGCGAGGCATGAGATGAAGTGTGGCTCAGTGATGTACGTGTGATAGGAACACACAACCTAAACCTTTTAAGAATTTACTATCTCAAAAAAAAGCAGTTGTCTGTTTTACTCCAACTAATGGCTGCAGCTATATGAGAGTCAAACAGCAAATATGAATTTCTGCACTTTTTGTCTCTTTTCTACCCCATTTGCAGCATAGATTATCTCTTCTAAAATTAAAAAAATGCTGTCACTAGTTTGCAAAATCTTGTTCACTGTCACTGGCATTAGCTTGCTTTATAACTAATGCATTTAGAGTAGATAAATGCATGCCCATCTAAAGCCTTATTATCCACACAGCTATAACTGTGTGATGATAGCATTATAAGATAAAATACGTTTATTTTAAGATGTTTAAATGCAGGGTTTTTATGGTTGAATTCTGCTAAAAGAAAATATATGAAAAGAAACGAGTAGCAACAAAATGCAGATCTAAGGAGCACATTCAGAGAATATGTGGTATTAGCCTGTCTCCCCTAAAGCCTTTCCACAGAGCGGAAAGCTTTTCTATTGTCTGCCACCGTGTTGCCTCTGACATGCAGCAGAGCTTTATCACATGTGCAAAGATTCCTGTTTACATACAGCAATTGAAGAGGCAAAATGGGAACCTGTTGATCTACAGATAAATGTTCCACCACTGAGCTGTACTCCCTCATGATTTGTACGTGCTTTATCTGTGAATTCAGCTCTGTTTGATAATGAATTGTATCCACAAAGCCCGAGTCAAGGAGGCAGCCTCTCTCTGAACTGCAAATATTTAACAGCCCAAATGTGTTTGTTCACTCGTGAGTCTCTGCATGTTTGTGTATGATAATGAACCTGCGCTTGTAGCATCCATCCTCCCTCTATTAATTAATTTGCTCCATGGCACAGATAAAAATCAACAATAGTTTATTATTTCCCGGGATTTTTGCTTTTTATCGTGGAGGAAAAAAGGCTTTTAAACATTTCCACACATAAGATGAAGATACATGAACCTTACAGAGAACTCATATACAACATGCTCTATAATAGCCAATAAAAGGATCAGAAGTCACCTGAATATGAATGTAATTTATATAATGATCTTTAAAAGAATACCTGACACTATTATTTTTTTTAGCTTGAGAGATACAGTATGAACAATAATTAATTTATTTCTTTTTTTGGACATGGGCATTCTGTACTCTGGATTATATAGCAGGCTGGTCAGTTCATTAGTGTTTAATGCTATTTAGAGTGTGCATTCATTTATGGCATGCTTTCTTAGGCTCCAGTAGTTGCCTGGAAAAAATACATACAAAGACAAATCTGAGTGCCCCCTGTGTTTACTTTATATGCCCATAAGTCCATGAGCGCTGCTTACGGTAGACTGAGGTTCATTTAATATTACCTCCTGTAGAGAGGCTGGAATGCCCTGAATGCAACAAGCAGGGGAAATTATTGTCGCAGAGCGAGAACTACTGGCATTGTTATACAGGACAGGAGATTGTATAACAACTCAGCCACAGGTGCCAAACTGGATCCTATCAACTTCTTAAAATCTGCAGTTTTCTGTTCTAATTTCATTTATTCACTGGAAGGGTTTTTCACAGAGGAAATAGATTTTGCAGATGATCGAATTAAACAGATGACTATAATGATCAAGCATTTTCAGACAAAACTGATGAAGCCCAGCTGAGTGACCCCACCCCCTTTTTTAAACTTGTGTTTAAACATTCATGCGTGATAATGTCACATTATGTGTGATAATGTCATAGTTAGAAAAGGGCATTTTGATCCATAGTCTGACGCTTTATCTTTGTGCTGTTCCTCCTTGTTCTTCTAATTTAGGGTTCACTTATAGTTCAATCCATGAATAATGTAGAAAATTTAATTTCCCTTTGCTCTCTCTGATGTATTTAATGTTTCTATAGTGGTGGCTGCCTATGTATCCAGCTCATTTCCTACAAATCTAAAAAAAAAAAGAGTACTTCCTATGATAAGGGTGATTTCAGAAAGGCATGAAATGATTTTTCGCTACAAAGGCAGCATTGATTGACTGGTGATAAAGATTCTTAAAGGAACACTGCAGCCTCTATAAGCACCCATGATTTTAATTAATATAGGATTTTTTTTTTAAATACAAATGATCTGTTCTGCTAGTCATAACTCTAACCCTTTGCACTGCAGATGTGCCATACAGTATAGGCATTGCCAAACTTCATTACAATCACATATGCTACGTCATCATTTACTTTGCAGCTTTCGGATCGTGTGATGTTGTTACCATTTTTTCATACTACCACTGTAGTGCAAAAAGGGGGCACCCAGATTTGAACTGGGGACCTCTTGATCTGCAGTCAATTGCTCTACCACTGAGCTATACCCCCTTGGTGTTAGCCCAGGAAATGACCTGTATATAAAGGCAAATGTAGATCAAACAAATGACGGGTTTTTACATGTTCTTCATTTGTAAACAAATAAAAGTTGTTTACATCCATGTAATGAACCCACTGACCTGCTGTACTTCCTGATTGGTTCAGTGGGATGGTTGCATCCACTTAAACTTTGGTTGTGAATATAAAACCTATTAATCCCTGTGAAGGGAGACGAAAGTGGTAGCTAAAGTTAAACTGGAGCAGTATAAACTACTCAGACCACAAGAATGTCTCTTGCTCCCTGATTAATGTTAATCAGGTGAAGAAACTCTGCAATAGCACTAGAATGGACACAGAAGGCAGCAAGTAACCCAATAAGAAGAGGGGCTTATCGTAGAAATAGATTGCAGCTGAAGTGAAGTGTAGAGTCACTGGAGATGCCGAGATTTGAACAGCAAACCATTAAATTTAAAGGGAAATATTTTGTTTAATACCACCTTCTGCACAAGACATGCAAACATGCTTTCTGATACAAACTGCTAAGCCAACCCAAACATTAAAAAATGATACTTGCTTCTGAGTTTCTTTCTACATGCTGGCCCCATTAGATACATGGCCTTTAAGAGTAAAATGAAATATATATAAGATATCAAAGATTAAATATCTTTAAGTATCCCTATCTTTTCACAATTTTCCTTACCTACACGTGAGACTAATGTAGTAAAACAGAGAAAATAAGATCCCGCCACATTTATTGACAATGCATAAGATTAGAATTTAGGGAATTTTAAGGTTCCTCGTTTGCATTTTATTCTAAAAATCTAAACATGAATTAGAAACTCAAAGAAACTCGATCACTGAAGCACACACAAGCAGTCAGACCAGCCTCTCCTCTTTTTATTAGAACGTCAGAAAAATATATATAATTTATTCCTTGTTTGGTATTTTTTGTTTGTTTGTTTACATAAATAAAGACATTTCGACTACTAATTGATGTGGAAACGGCATTAACGTGGAAAAAAATAACTAAAATGAAATGTCAAACTTTCAAAATTTCTTTGAGGATGATCTCCTTAAATGTTTCCCTCTTGTTTAAACATCTGTGTGTCAGTGTGTCATCTCAAATTTCTGTTTGTTGATTCATATGTTTACAGCAACAGCCTGCCTCCACTCTGTGAGGTGTTCAACCCACCATTGAAGAGCTTAATTTGACGGCTGGCATTTGAAAAATTGTGGTACTTTAATTTGGTAAAATTACGACAGTCTTGAGAAAGTTTACCATCAGGAAGTCATCGATCAAATTTAACTTTCTTGTTTAAACTTGGAAATTCCACACTGCATATGCAAATGGGTCCAAAACACTCCACACATCTTGTACAATTTTTTCATAAAGCTAAACTTTTTGATGAAACCCATATTTTAAGATGACTCGGCTGTCTTGGGCTTCATGCATATTAATAGCTACTCATCATTCTACGGCTCTGAAAGAGAGTTCTTTAATGGCCCGGGTGGAAGTATGTTGCGAAAATACCGACAAGAAGCCAAATGACAACTTTGTCACTTAAGCCTCTTCTTTAAGTGCTTCACTGTTTACATGGACGATACACAGTAAAATGAGCCAAATTAGTTTGGTTTATGCAAGCCGAGTGAGGGATTATGGGTGCTAAGCGGTCCCAATCTCCTCAATCCATCTATGAGCAGCCTGTGTTATGACGTGCTCATATATACACATTTTCTGAAGGCTGCTCATATGCGCTCAGAATATAAAATGCACACAGAAGACTTAGAAGAACCCA